CTGCAATTTTTCTGAACCTGTTTTTTCTCACAGTTCTCACAAATAGGGATGTATTTCTCCCATTCTGATCTAAACATCCTTTGTTTTTCTTGCCTAGTTGCTCCGGTATAATGTTGAATCAATGCCGAGAGGGATGTTAAAAATAAAACTCAACCAAAAGTTGAACATAAGGTTTTTTCGGAGCAGTTACTTTGTATGCACATAGGGAGACCATTTTGATTGCAGCCAAAGCAAATGGCTTGAAGAAGGTAGATAAATTGGGGCTTATGAAGAGAAGAGGAGGGTGATAGAGACGGAGGGGGAGTAGAGGCTGTTGGCTGATCTTAACACGATCCATTGAACCCCGTCTTCCCCTTTCACTAGACCAACTGATGCTAGTTTACTCCTGGCCTGGCTTTTAGTAATCTGGCCCTCCACATCTTTAAGTGTTGGAAAAAAACCCAGATATGTCACTTTGAGAACCCAGGGCATGGTCTTTTTAATCACCTATGCATGTGAAGGCTGGACAGTGAATCAGGAAGACAGAAAAAGAGTTGATGCCTCGGAATTATGGTGTTGGTGAAGAACATTAAGTATGCCGTGGACTGCTACAAGAATGAACAAAGCTATCCTGCAAGAGGTGCAGCCAGAAGACTCCTTAGAAGGGAGGATGGTGAGAATGCATCTCACGTCTTTTAGACGTGTGTCAGGAGGGACCAGCAGTTTCTGGCAGGTTATTGTAGCTTGAGTCAGATTTTTGTTATGGTTAATATTTGGTTTTGTGGGTAAGGAAAAACTCTCAAATCAAAATAAGTTTTCTTTTTCAGCAGTGAAAACCCTTGTCTTATTTCTGATCTTTGGGAGAAAATATTCATTCTTTCACCATTAAATTTGAAGTTAGCGTTGGGTTTTTAAAAAGATGCCTTTTATCAGGTTGAGGAAGTTCCCTTCTATTCCTAATCTGTTGAGTGGTAGTATCATGGCAGGCTGTTGGATTTTGTCAAATGTTTTTCCTGCAACTGTTAGGATGACCTTGGGGGTTTGGTGTGTGTGTGTTACGTGTCAGGATGACCTTGTGGGTTTGGTGTGTGTGTTATGTGTCAGGATGATTGGTAGACCAGATTGTTACATACATTACATATTACCTGAAAGAAGGATTTTCGGGTATGAAACCAACCTTGTGTTCCCAGGATAGATTCCTTTGGGCATGATGTAGAACCCTGTTTGTAGATGGCTGGACTCTGCTCACTAGGGTTCTGTTACACTAGTTTTCTTTTGTTGTGGAGCCTTTGTCTGGCTTTGGTGTCAGGGCAATGCTGGCCTCATGGAATGTGTTAGGAAGTATTCCCTCCTCTTCTGTCCCTTTGAAGAGTTGAAGACGAATTGGTGTCACTTCTGTAAATGTTTGAGAATTTCCCAGTGAAGCCGTCTGGTCCAGCACTTTTTGTTGTTGGGAGGTTTTGGATCGCTGATTCGATTGCTTCCCTCGTTACGGATCTTTTGAGGTTTTCTGGTTCTTCTGAGTCCTTCAGACAGTTTCTGTGTTGCTAGGTGTTCATCCAGTTTGTTGGTGTCAGGTTGTTCATAGCATTCTCTTATGATCCTGTTTATTTCTGTAGGGTTTGTTACATCATCCCTGTTTGCTTGCTTGCTTTTTGGTTATTTGCATCTTCTCTTTCTTTTTCTTTGTCGATCTGACTAAAAGGTTGTCTCTGTTAGTGGTCTTCCAGAAAACCAGCTTCTGGTTTCATTGATTCCCTGTTGCTTTTCTGTTCTCTGTTTCCTTTCTTCCTGATCTGGGTCGGAATTCCTTCCTTTGATAGGTCTGCCCTTAGTTTGCTCTTTTTTTCACTCCTCAGGTTGTAAGGTTAATTATTGATGAGCTCTTTCCTCCTTTACTTACTTAATTTTTTTTAACTTTGTAATGTGACTTGGATGAGATTTTACAAAGCTGATTTGTTTTATGGTCAGCAGTTCATACACAGTTTCTGACTCTTCTTTGTTAATGCAGGTGTATGCTCATGTCATTTCCCTCTAGTGCTGCCGCCTCCGTATCCTGTCATTTTTGGCTTCGCTGCCTCTTTCTCTAGTTCTCTCTATTAAACTTCTAGTTGTCATTGCACTGCCAGCCTCCTCTTCATCACTGTGCACCACACCCGTTGTGTCGACCGCTCCCCTCGGCTAGAACTTCCCACCCTCTGTTCCAAAGCTCATGAGTCCCCGATCTTCTTACGGCCTGCCTCTCCCCCTGGGCAGTGTCTCTGCGCCGCTGCTCTGGCTGGGGTTCGGGACAGTGGTCTGCTTCTCTGGGGGTAGCACCTGCTGCTGGGGGGGGGTTGTCACTCCCGCCCACCCGGGCTGCCTGTCACTGGCCATGCTGAAGTTTAGTGGGTTTTCTCGGACAAATGTCTGGGCGTTTGCTGTGTACTGTAGGATACTTTCCCTCTAGGAATGTAAGTGGTAGTTGTTTTTTTTTTTATGTAAATAATTTTCTCCAGTTTTGGTCATGTCACTGCAGAGAGGGGCTGTGGACAGACTGCTTCCAAGAGTCCTTTTGCTTATGTCTCTGACGTGCATTGTGTCTGTCAAGGCCCACACTGCCATATGTGTGATTGAGTGAGGTGTCCGAGGCTGGCTGCAGCATGTGGGCGGGGAGGCTTGTCCAGGTGTTGGTGGTGTGGGGAATGGCATAGTCCATGATGCTGTTCTATGGACTTTTTTTTTCCCCCATATATTTGAAATTTTTCATAACAGACACATTTTTTAAAAAATCACCTTGTGCCCCAAGGGGTCAAAGGCTGACAGAAACCCTCCAGACCCTTGGCGTGGTAGAGCAAGCAGCTGGCGTGAGGGCTGGGACCCATGCGCTGGATGGCAGCGGGCCTCAGGAGACCAGCCACCACTCAATCCAGCCATTGTTGCCTGATGGGAATGCACACCCAGGAGGAGCTCTCAGACCCTCTGGTGTCTTAGGGAGGCTGGAAATAGCGATGTTGGTATAAGATTAGCAGGCAATTAAGTCAAGATGGTTTTCCACTCAAACAGATAATGTGATTTTATTCACTTGGTGGAACTGGCCCAGAAGCCACCAGTGTGGCAACCTGCTTGTAGGCAACTCCTAATAATAATTTGATTAAGAAAGAGAGTAAATGTTAACTTTCCTGGAGTAGAAATTAATAGCACGGATGGAGTGGAGGGCAGAAGTGGGGAGAGGTGGAAGGACAGGTGTGAGTGTGACTGCCCTCGTCCATAAAGCAGCCTGTGACTGGTGGGACGGGAAGTACCTGCTGGAAGTTGTAAGGTGACTGGTGGAGGAACTAGCATGGCTAGAAACTGTATTGGGGAGGAGGGGAGAGGCCAACGAGGATGCCATGTGCACCACGACATGAGTGGCTGGTCGCCGTGGTGTCTAAAGGTGAATAGGAGTGGTATCACGCCATCTACAAACAGTTACAAGCAGCTGTTGCCGTGGAAGCAGGGCTCAGGGCAGGAAGCTTGTTGCTTTCTCAGTTCAGGGCTGTCCTGGGTGGTGGGAGTGGCTGTTAACCTAAAGGGCAATGGTATGAACCCCTGGTAGCTTCCCCAAAGACCCACCTGGTGAGCTGCTTTCATAAAGATTGCAGCCAAGAAAACCATGTGACGCAGGTCTACCCTATAACCACGGGGTCGCCATGAGTCAGGGCCGGACCTCAATAGCAGCTGACGACAACAGCACGTTTTGTTTGACCAATCCTAACACTGTTTGTTGTGTGTCAGTCTCCCAGGGCTGTCATACAAAGCATTGCAGACAGAAATGCCTGTGCTTGCTGTTTGGGGTCTGAATCGAGGGTGTCAGCGGGCTGTCCTCGCTCTATCCTCATCTCTTCCAGCTTCTGTGGCCCCCAGAGTTGTTGGCATTCCTTCACTGCAGACAGACCCTCCCGCCCTCACTCCCTGTTCCCACCCAAAGCATCGTCCTGTTTACAAAACACTGCTCAGAAGGACTCAGGATCAGACCCATCTACTTAGTTTAACTGACACCGTCTGCAAACAAGGAGCTCTGGTGGCGTAGTGCCTAAGGCATCTGACTGCTAACCAAAAGGCTGGCAGTTCAAACCCACGAGCCACTCCTCGGAAAGGAAGACTGGGCAATCTACAACCCAAGGAGGGGTTATGAGTTGGATCTGGCTCGACGGCAGTGAGTTTTTTTTTTTTTTTCAATCTGCAGCCAAGGTCTGTTGACAGGTCCAGGGTTAGGCCTTCGGTCCTTCTGAGGGACACAGGTCATCCCGTGCCACGTTGCTTGGATGAACGTACACTGTCAGCACTTTGGCGGTTTTCTTTGTGGTCCTGGTTGCTGGGTTGCTCTTACTTGACAGTGTCCTAACTGTGATGATTTCCTGTCATAAAGGGAGACAAGGTGACATTACTTTGCTGTTGGTTTTCAGGGGTATTAATGGAAATTGTCAAACACAGACAAGAACCCACTAGAATAATGAGCCCAGCTTCCTGTCAGAAGCTTCAGGAATGAATAATATGCCAGTCTTCTTCTGCCTCCACAGCCTCCTCTGTTTGTTTTCACTGTAGATACTGTAATTTGCATCTCTAACAGATCCTGTTAACCCCTTGCTGTTTAGTTGATTCTGACTCACAGTGCCCCTAGAGGACAGGGTAGACCTGCCCCAGAGGGTTTCCAAGGCTGTCATCTTTTCCTGTGGAGTGGCTGGTGAGTTCGAACTGCTGACCTTTTGCTCAGCAGCTGTGCGATTAAGCCCTGCGCCACCAGGGCTGCTTCTCTAACCGAAGAGGACGTGTGTAACCATCATGCCCTTGTCACACCTGAAAGACAGCAGTATAGTCTCATGTCCCGTCCACATTCACATTTCTGCAGTTGGCTAAAAATATCCTTTTCCAGTGGTTCGTCAAGTCAAGATGCCGCCGCCGAGCTCACTGCTCTTGGCTTGTCTCGCCCTGTGCATGCTGGCTTGTGCCGTGTCTCCTGTCGGGTGCATTTGTAACCTCTGGTTTGTTTCCTCTTCCAGGCCATGAGTGCAGCCGTGTGCTTCATGATTGACGGTGAGTCCGTGCTTGTCTCTGAGGCCAGCTGCTCACAGAAGCTTGTCTCTTCCCAGTCTGATCCCTGTTCTGAATCGACGGCTGTGTTGTCACAGCGACACCGAGGCTGTAGGGACACATTCCTCCCCATCTGGGCCCTCTGCCGCTGAAGTAGCTGTGATACTTTGTTGAAGCCCAGCTTCAGCTTCTGTCCTTGCCTCCCGTAACTGTGAAAGGGGGCAGTTACAGCACCTGGCTCAGAGGGGACTCGAGGAGTGAGATAGTTGTCAGGCGGCTCCAAGGCGTCCGGCCCAAGTCCTGGGGCGGGTGGAGGTGGTTGTCCTCAAGTCAGCTCCAACTCATGGTGCTTGCATTGTGTGCGGAGCAGAGCCCCAGAAAGCTTGCAGAAGCACATCTTCAGGGCTGTCTTTCGAGGTGCCCATGGGTGGGTTTGAACGACCAACCTTTTGCCCAGTAGTTCTTAGACATTGGCACCAACCTGTACTCCTGGCTGTCATGTAGTACTTGTTAAATAAATATTTGACCTTCCTGAGTTTAAGGAGCTCTGGTGGCACAATGCCTAAGGCAACTGACTACTAACTAGGTTGGTGGTTCAAACCCACCAGCCACTCTGCAGAAGGACGACTGGGCAATCTACTTCCATAAAGTTTACTGCCTCGGAAACCCAAGGGGGGTTGCTATGAGTCAGAATCGACTTGATGGCTGGGTTTGATTTTGTTTTCCTTGCATTTACCCGGGGAAGACATTCAGTTGACAACACACACACAGCTTTTCACGGATCTTAAATGTGATTTTGTCGTTTTACATAGAGCTAGTTTTAACTCTGTCTGTGTTTGGTGGGCTAGAGGTGGGAAGGATCTGACTATCTGGTTCTTTTATTTCTCAGATCCATAACATTTTAATTTGATTGGTTATTAAGTATCGGAAGGTGAAATGGATATGACGTGTGAAACACGATATTGTAGCATTTACTTCTGTTTTTAATTGCCTGATAGCCTCCATACAGCCCACGTTGGATTTCTGCCGAAGACTGGACAGCATCGTTGGGCCTCAGCTCACAGTGCTGGCATCTGACATTTGTGAGCAGTTTAACATCAACAAGAGGATGTCTGGGTTGGTACTCCGCTCTGTGTTTATTTTCACTCATTTAATTGGTTTTAGACAAGGGTGGTTTTGAGTTAAAAGTGTGGTTGGTTTTACTGTTGGTGTATTTCTCTGAATCTTGCTGTTGGGTGTGAGTGAGTGCATCTCAGCAGAGCAGGACTGCCCGTGGGTTTTCTGGGCTGTCCTCTCTACAGGAAAGAGCCCCGGTGGCCAGTGGTTAAGTGCTTGACTGCTAACTGAACCGTCCACGCTTTGAACCCACCAGTGGCTCCGCAGGAGAAAAGACCTTGCAGTCTGCTTCCGTAAAGATTACAACCTGGGAAACCCTATGGGGTGGTTCTACTCTGTCCTCTAGGGTCATTGTGAGTTGCAGTCATTGTGGCCGTACACAGCCACAGCCTCCATGGAACAGACGGCCAGGTCTTTCTAGCGAGTAGTGAAGTAATGTGCGGTTCAGTCCTGTCTGTTATGTTTCTGGGGAGCTGGACCTGAGTATGCCCCATGATGTGATGGTTTGGGCTGGTCTCTTAATATGCCCCTCAGCCCTCCTTGCTGGTGGTGTGCTGTTTGTGGCTATGGGCTTGGCCTTGTGAATACCACTTACACGTATCCCACCTAACGAGCCCAGGTCATTACAGTGGGGGCATTTTCATGAGTTTTACGTAAGCAGTGAGGAGCATGGTTTTGCTCTGCGTAGACTGGAAGCACTTTGCCCCTTGTACAGAAATGCAGTGAGTTGGCTGTGTGAGGTGTAAGCCATTAGGGTGATGGTCTGCGCCTACTGGCTTTAAAGGTTCTAGGCTGAGGGGCGGGACACTCAGGACTGAACTCACCTCGGTCCTCTGCCACCAGGGCTTCAATCTGTCTCCTTCCGATTCGACCCCACTGTTGAGAGCTTGCCTTCCTGCCCCAAATTGACTGAATCAGAAGCTACATTTTAACATGATCTGTAAAGAATCACCTGGGGTCTTGTTAAAATGTAAGTTCTGATTCAGTTTCTCTGGGGTGCAAAGGCAAGTTCTCAACATTGAGTCAAACCGGAATGAACTGGCTCGAAGCCCTGTCTCCAGGTCTGTGGAAGTCTTGCCCCTCCTCCTGCCTTGGTCCTGGCGTGGTGGGTGGGTGGGTGTGGGCTGCCGTGGGTGGGAGGAGTTACTGAAACGCTGCCAGTCCGTGGAACCTGTGTTTCTAACGTGCTCGTGTGCCTGCTCTGCCCCCAGCACCAGCCTGGAGAGGGCCAGAGCAGGCTCCACGTGGAAGTGCTGCTGGATTGTGTGTGTGTCTGGGTTGTGACTGTTAACAGCTTAGTTTTAGGAGAGAGAAGCCCGAGAAAGGACAGGGCCTGACCGACCGACGTGGTGACAGTGCTGCTCAGTGATGTCCTGGTTGACTGTGAAATGGCCAGACTTCCTTTCCTGAAAGAGGCAGAAGTGAGTCAGCTCTGTTTTGGATCATGCAGATGGGGAACCAGTGGGCCAAGAGTGACAGAGTGTGGTGAGCCGCTCCCCAGGCCCCTGAGGGGTAACTGGCCCTGGTGGCCGCCCTGCCTGTGGGTCCAGCACATGGAGTGAATTTCCAGCAGCCCGTCTGCCAACACCCAGAGGTTAACGTACTGTTCAGTGCCTTCCGTCTGGCAAGCAAAGTTAACTCTCGTTGGGATTTTACAGAAGAAATGAGACAGGGCCTTGGATATTAGTCTCCTGCCTGTTAGAAAGTCGTTTTCTCTCCAACGTGTTAGTATGAGAATTTCCAAATATAGGAAAGTTGAAGGAAAAAAGAGTCAAACGATTGAACGTGCACGTACCCACCCCTTGGGTTCCACAGCAAACATCTGCTATGCAGGTGGGCCCTGACTGAGGACACGTTTGAGTGACGACAAACCGCCCTTACTGGGTTTTTGTACATCTTGGTAAGCTGTCCTGCAAACAGTGTTTCAGTGTGTAATTTCCTAATGTTACCATTCTCAGATGTAGTGTTTCCAACCCCCAAGGACAAAAATCAGATTTATAAAGACACTGATAATAAAAGGCAATAATAATGAAAACTTTAAAAAAATAAAGAAGAAGTAGTACTTGACTTAACACGAGAACTGATTTACTGCCGAGTCATCGGAATAGAACCCCACCTGTGTAGATGCTTTTTGACTATTAGGAAACCACTCTACAGTCTCACCAGCCCGCTGAAAAGGAGAGTACCCAGAAAGCCTGATGCTAGAGTCAGCTTGACGCAGTTTAGGGACGTGCTCAAGAAGGGCTCCTAGGAATGTCCTTGTTGTTCGTAGCCTGGCATGTTGACCTCAAGGAGGCTCTCGGTGCAGCTGAGGTTTTACAAACAAGGAACTGCTGCTTGCCAAGCAATGGATGTCAACTGGACATAAAGGCTTTGGCCACAGAATCGAAGGGACTGTTCTTGTAGAAGTCCTTCTGACCCACATCAGACCCTTCTCCATCCCGTCAGGAGATTCCTCCTCCCTCCAAAACTCAGATCCCAGAGGCATCAAGTGGGTGGGTGGCGAAGGGCAGCCGTGAAGGAGGACACGCGTCTTGAGACAGTGTTGAGGTGGCGGGTGTGGAGAGGATGCCCTATCAGGTGGCCGTCCTTACTCAAGAGGCCGGTTTGAGGACCTGGGTACCTACCCTCTCTCAGTTGCACTCCCACTAGGAGGTATGCAAAAGGCTGTGCTCAGGGCCTGTTGACCTCTGCTGATGGTTAGGTCAGAGTTTCTTGGCTTGGCCTGTTGGCATCTGGGCCTGATGGCTCCTTGCTGTGGAGGGCTGCCTGGTGCGTCCTGCAATGTCAAACAGTATCCCTGGCCTCCAGCCACCAGAACACCCCCTCACACACACTCGTGACAACCAAAAATGTCTCCCGACATTGCCAGCTGTCCCCGGGGAAAACCGCCCCTGTTAGAATCCCCTGGTTTAGGGGCACGTGCCTGGACTCTCTCGCCCTGATGAGCTTCTCTGGAGGGCACCCTAAGAAGTCTCTGAAATTCACAAAACCCTGTTTTGGTGCTGTGGCTGCTCGCTGGAGCACATGGAGCTGGCTTGCCCTTCAGACCCGTCCACTGTGGCCTTATTACCCATGCAGCATGCAGCGCCCAGCCCCGCCCTCTGGGTCCCAGGGTGGGATGGGCCAGCCAGGTGGCAGCAGTGTGCCTGCCTGCCCCAGGGTGGAACGACCTGCCTGGCCAGGCAGCAGCAGCGTGTTGTTCATGGCGAGGGGGGCTCCTGCAGCAGGTCTCTCATTTGTTTTCATGAGGAGCTTTGCAACGGGCGGTGGCTCCTACAAGACGCAAGGATGTATCTGAGTACCTGGGGCCCCTCTTCACCCTGGAGCCCCCACCTGCCGAGGCCTCCCGTCCCTTGCCCGGGCTGTACCCCTGAATGGCCTCGTGTGTGTGGCCTGCCCCTGGCCGAGCCCTTGCCTTTCGTCAGCGCCTGCAGCTGGGAGCCCTTGCAGCAGATTCACGCTCTGGTATAAACAGTGCAGCGTGTTGGGGGTTCAGGGAGTGAGAGAACCAACCATCATCCAAAAACCACCTCTGTCTTTGCTGATCCCGCTGGCTGGTCTCTGAAGAAAAGGAACCCTGGTGGCACAACGGTGAAGCACTCGGCAGCTGACCAAAAGGTTCTTGGGTCACACCTGCCCGGCAGCTCCTCGAGAGAAAGACCTGGCAGTTACTGCCCTAAGGGTCACAGCGCGGGGAGAGAGGCCTGGGGATCGGCTTCCAGAATGCTGCCGTCGAGACTGCTGCGGGCACAGGCCTGCTCCGACGGGGTCTCCCCGAGTCGGGGCACAGCGCTGCTCTGACACAGGGTCTCCCCGAGTCGGGGCACAGGCCTGCTCTGACAGGGTCTCCCTGAGTCGGGGCACAGGCCTGCTCTGACACGGGGTCTCCACGAGTCGGGGCACGGGGCTGCTCTGATGGGGTCTCCCTGAGTCGGGGCACAGGCCTGCTCTGATGGGGCATCTCCACGACTCAGAGCCGACTCAGCGGCAAGGGGTCTGCTCGCTCAAATAAAGCCCGGGTTTTCACTCTGAGAAACAGAAGCGGTTGCAATAAGGAGTACAAATGGACGCTGCACCACCTTTCCAGACTCTGCCCGTGGACCGGTCTGGACGACAGCCTCCACTCAGACGTGGCCAGCACACCGCACAGGACGCCTGCATTTGATTCTCAGAGACACTGAGTTTATTTTTCTACCTGTGTGTTTTGTATCTCTGCTGGTCCACTATTAAATTTTGACTGTTTAATGATAATTAAAAAAAAAAAAAAAAAAAGATTACAGACCAGGAAACCCTACAAGGAGGTTCTGGTCTGTCACACGGGTCACTGTGAGTCAAAAATTGATTTGATGGCACTCAGTGCCGCCACGTCTCTGAAGAAGGAACTCGGAAGTTGTCTCAGTCCCGGAACATGGTAGGCTCGTGTCCTCGACTCCTCTTCAGTGACCTTGTGGGGGTACAGGTGCAGGACATCGCCAAGGGCTGGGCCAGGAGCGCTATCCAGATTGCCGAGAACGTTAGCCCAGAGAGGCCGCAAAATCACAAGGCCCTTTTCAATGTAAAAAGCCCAATATTTAAGGAGAGAAGATGTTAAAAAAAGAAAGAAGTATTTCACATGCAGGGACCTAGTGGCACAGGTTAACAAGGATCTAAACTATAAAGCCATGCTGCTTTAAATTTAATGAGCAATCCTGAAGCAACACAGACACTATTTTCTTCTTAAAAGTCATGGCAAGCGTAATCCCGTCCACCCTCTGGCGGCGGCTAAATGAAGACGCCAGGGTGAGAGCACGGTGCTTGCTGACTGTCAATGGACTCCGGGTTCGTGCAGATACGCTCTCTGTTGCAGGGTGGGGTGTTGAGAGCTGCGCTCTCTGTCGCAGGGTGGGGTGTGGAGAGCTGAGCCATGTCCATCAGCCTACTTTGATAAGTTCCTTAGGAATTGAGATCGCCCCTTTAAAGAATGACATTAAGCAGAGTGGTTTGGCTTTTGGTTTCTT